GCAACCAGCTTCAGCAGGATTCTGCAGTGGTGGATCCGTTGGTAGGATCCACTTTGGGTTTTCTTTGCAGAGCCGAAGGCTGGCTTGCAAGGCACTTCAAGTTGACTCCTAGTTTGTGCCTACGTGACTAATGCCAAGACTCTCGTACACATCTTCCCCACGAAGATGCCCGCAATGTTGGAACTGCAGCACAAGGAGGTTTGTGGCAGGGTGTCCAAGCACTGAACTGAACACATTAGATCTGTACTTCCATTGTTTCCTCTTCTATGTAACTTATTTTTATTTTAAGTATTATTTGAAAGAGATTTAAACATTCTCCAAGAATTTTAGTTCTAAGCTATTTTTAAAGTTTTCATTATTATTATCATTGTGTTGGTAACACCACATGTGGCACATTTTAAAACATATTCCTTATGCCAAGATTAGGTTGAAAAGGAAGATAGTCGCTGTAATAAAGGCACTGAAAATTAAGAGATCTTCAATCTATTTCATGCTTGATTTTAAAGTCCTTGTACAAGTAAGTGCAGTTTGTCCTTCAGTTTCTGTATCTAGAATAGGCTGTACATATCCTTTTCCTATCTTGGAGATGGAAAGAAAAGAAACAGAAATGAGAGTGAATTCAGTAATGCTTGGGGGGGGGCTAAAATCTTTGGACAGAAGATGGTAGAGTATAATCCACTGACCTGAAGCAGTCCCTCAATTAATTGTCAATGGTATGATGTCAGAAAATCTGTTGCAGTCTTCCCACAAAGTATGGGATAGAGTTTGCAACACTGGGAAAACTCCAAGGTAAAAGGTAGGCTTCTTACCTTCCCTATAATTAGTTATTATTACATTCACTGCTGTTAACTTCTCAGTGAAGAAGTCCAACACTAACAGCTATCCAGTGTCCACAGGGAAGAAATGCACATAAATATATAAAACTTTCTAAGAAATTAATCTTGCCAACAACAACAAAGAACCCCATGTCCTCTGATCTCATAAATGTCAGTAGAAACACCCAAACTCTCTGGAGGGAACCTCATTTCTCGGAACCAGTAAGCTTTTTGGCAGTAACATAAGTACAGTGTTTCTACAAATGCAGTGGCTTCACCTCTCAAATGCACCCAGTCATCACCTGGAGTATTTCTGCTGTGTGGGGTCATACACCAGAAACAGCTCAGTAAGAAAAAGGGGCGACTTCTGCAATAGTTGGAATCTTTAACGTGATAAAATACCGTAATACAGTCTGTGATTTTTTTCACTGTTGCTCTTTTGCTTTTCAAGTAAAAATTCTCTTGAAGTGGCAGAAATCAGTATGAATCAGATCAACACAGTATGGACTTCTTTATAAAAACCCAAAACAACAGTGAAGGTGGAAATCTTCTGAGTCATTGCACATGTATTTTGCTTATCAATGGAATAACACATTGCAGAAGTAGAGAAAGGAAGCTGAGAATACCCAGTCACCTCTAACGCGCACGTGAACTGCATACCTAAACCAGGTAAATAGTTGTTTCCTGCCGATGCAGAGTAAAACCCAAGACTAACTTTGGGTTTCAGTTACTGACAAATGCAGTACCGCTGGGCTGGCCCTTAAGTTTCCCAATGCACATCTGTCATTGGGCCCAATCCAACCATGCCCCACACAGAAGAGGTTAACAACATCCTATGAGATGGACTGATGAAGAAAAACATAAATAAAATCCTAAGGGAATCACAAAAATCCTGTGTTTGGGCATCAACCTGGTAGAGGTGGGGTACGTCTGCTTGGGGTTTATACTTTCAAAGGGCGGAGAAAAAACAAAAGAAAAACCAGACAGTTTGTATCAGAACTAGTATTAGCAATATAACAAATATTTCCAAACCTTCTGTGGCCTTCAACCTGAAGGAACTCAGGGTACTTTGCAGACTATATACGAACAACACCTCTAGCTTTCAGTAAACGATCACATTGCACAAAGTGATACGGATAAGGGAGTTTTGGGCACAATTGTGAGTAAACCTTTGCTACCTTACAAAAGATCTTCCAAGGCTCACAAAGAACACCCAAACCCACAATTTCTCATCTATTCCCAATAAAAAAAACAAAACCAAAAACAAACCCACATTTTAGAAATCCTCTCGAGCCACATGCACACTACTGTAAATACTGGTAACCCTTCAGGAGCACTTGTTCTCTTTACAAAATTATTGTATGTTCTTGGCATAAGTCTAGGATCTTTCCGCACAATAAGGAAAAGGAGGGAGTCCTTTACCTACCTGGTAAAGCTTGCATTTTTCCATGTACTGTGGAGTCTAGGAGGTTGCACGGCCAAAAGAGCCACCAGAGTTCTTACAAGGGGAGCCAAAATAGTCCAGTTCAAAAGCACATCTGATTTCCTGAAGCAAGTAAAAGCCCTTCCTTCTGAGATCCAGTGTCAAGAGTGACCGGAATGAGGATGGGACTCCAAGCGCAGCTAGCCAAGGTGAGTTCCTGTTTTATGGAGGCTAATGAGCAGGGAGGAGCTTCTCGCCAGGGCTGTCCCCTTGCGATCCTTTGATGTCCAAAGGGACAAAGAGAGGAAGGATCTGCAGCAATGGCTGGGCTAAGGGAAGAAAATCAAAGAGAATTAACATGGCTTTGACATACAGGAAACCCTACAGGGGAAATGCACCTTGATTTACTGCTAACGCACTTTTAAACAAATAGAGACAAGACCAAAAACATCAGTTGAAGACTTACCTACAAAACAAAAAAATCACTTAAATAGCAAGCAGGAAAAATTTCCTTCTGGGTATTCCAAGGATTTGATATAATTTTAATCTCCAAAGTACAGAATCATTTTGCTCTTGATTTCTGGTATCAGAATCAGGACTGTATTGTGCTTGTTCCTTCCCAAGTGGGTGATTAACAGCCTGTGGTAAAGTTTGCTCTCATGACTGGGATGCTGCAGCAACACATTCATTCACCAACAGATGTCTTCTCCACTAACAGAAACACATTTGATGATATAACGTTACTTACCGAGCCAATCTCTGTTCACAGGCTTTAACTGCACAGTTAATTTTCCTATTGTGCTGATTTTCTATGGCAGGGTCCTCACCTTTGCATCAGATCTGTTCTAAAGCTCAGGACTGAGGCTGCTCTACATGCAGTATCTTTTCAGCTGAGCTTCATGAGTGAAAATTAAAATTATTTAATGACACAGCCATACTAGCATATAATTTTACTGGCACCAAACTACTTTGGCTGGCACCTTCCAGGGCTAGTGCAAGTGATCCAAGAGTGTCATGGTGGATCAGGCACTGGTTTTTAGGCCTTGTTCAAGTCACCACTCTTACTGAAAGGAAGGCTGAGCAAAAACTGAAGGACTTGAGCATTTTCCCTTAATTAGTTTATTCTGCAAGTGTGACCATTAGCTTTTGTACTTACAAGTGCTTACAAGTGCTAAGAGACAGCAATCAAGTCTCATGCTGCAGGGCACAGAACAGCCACTACACCTCAGTGAAGAAGGGAGTTCTATGCATTCATGTACAGAAATTGCTATACTAACATTTAAAGGTCAAAGATGTTCAAAAGAAGGAGGTCAAAAGCAGGATATTGGTCTCAATGGGCCCATGTTGGATCCCACACAGCAAATTCAGGAGCTCTGTTCATTTCAAAGAGCATTGCTATAAGGCTGCAGCTGATTCACGGTCTAGTTTTGCTCCCAAATACAATAAACATTTATTTATTTTGTCAGTGATGTTATTGGGCCATCTGATCTTTAGTCTGACATGCAAAACATATTCTGAATTTATTTAGTCAGTTTCTATAACCAAGCAACATCCCTTTAGTTCTGCTTTTACTGCCTTTTGGAGCAGGCAATGCAAGGACATGCAAAGAGGACAAAGGAGTTTAAACAGAGGAGGGACAGGCTCTTTTTCAATAGTATATTGAATTTTAGTCATCCCAGTACTAGGCAGGGAGAGAAAGGCCAATGCTTGGAGTGGCAGGGAAGAACATTTAAAAGAAAGGGGTTGAAGAGTTCAGAAAGTCCTGAGGAGGATTTTATATGAGGATCCTGGCACCTTTGAAGGACCACATCCAGCCTTCCTGACATTCCTTTAAAACTACTGGATAATACAGAACACCACAGACTCTTCTCCTTCAGCTAACCTGGGGACATCCAGAACTGGGAAGTCTCAGTAACCCTGAGCAGGAGACTGTAATGTGGTGGAGCAACATCAACTTGTAATTCACCTGGAGTTTATTACAAATGAGGAAAAATAAATTGGAAGGGAAAAGATCAGCTGAAAATGGTATCAAGGTCAAATCTCCCCTGCTTGTACTTGCACAGCCGCTACCAGACATAAAGAAAACAGGACGCAGAAATGCTTTTCTGCTCTGCTACAAAAGGAAAGCCAGCATCAAATCTGCCCCCTCCATGTCCTGCTTTTCTAATGCTAGTATTTTAATTGTAGAAAGCGGAAGACAACCATAATCAGAATCTGAAAAGGAAAAACAGAAGAAAAATTGGGTCAGATTCAAGCTAGCAGCAAGATGGATCAACATCCCACACAGTATGAAGCTGCACAACAGCAGCAGCAGCACTGGGAATTTCAGACTCTTCACCTGACAAGAGCGTGGGATGTGTATCATGACTTGCTGCTTCTTCCACAAAAGGGTATGAGATGGTCTCCTGCTGCCACTTCATTTGCACACTGCGTATCAGTATGTCTAGAGAACACACATTTGCCACAAGTACTCAAATCCTTTTGTCTTTTCCCAGCTGATTGATGGGGAAGGTGGAGTCATTAATTACCCATGACTAGTTAACAACTAGCTTTCTCCCAGCCATTCTAGTTGCACCAAAGGTTTTAAAAGTGAAAAAAAAAAAGTGAATTTGTTACTATTGCTGGAAAGTGTGGCTAACAGGAGCAATCCCCATGAAATTCATCACTAGCAAAGGGGGAATTTAGCACATTACCCTCTTGTCTGTCTGTCCATGGAGCGCCCTCAGGCAGTTTGCTGGGAAGACAGAGGTGAATGTGCTGGTGTCTAACAATTCACTGGCAAATTGGAGGCTGGGGGGGTGGAAAGGGATGGGAGAGATAGTGGATCTGACGTGTAAGTCAGCGACATACACAGCTCTGCTCCAAGCTCATTTACAGCAGCAGGTAAAAATCCTGCTGTGCCTAGCTCTAACAGTAGGCTCTCCTGCTATGCTGAAGGGGACGAGGTAGGGCAGCACAGAAGGGAGGGGATGTGTGATGACAAAAGCAGAGGCCAAGAGCTTTTGCTTTGCATCTCTTTGAGGAGGTGATTAGAAAGAAACATTCCCCTCTGTGTTTTGTAGCAAGGCAAATGTTTTCTGGCACTACTCCCACCTTAAATGAAGCTTTAACCCTTAGCACTCAACAGGACCCTGTAGGGGACTGCTCTGCACACATACCCTTCCTCATTCTTACCTTCTGAATTGGGAGCCTTCTGAGATGGTGTGATCATCTTGCCATCTCTGGCTGGTGTCTGGGGCTCTCAGACTCCGGGAGAACAGATAACATGTGTCAGCTAGCAGGAGGCTTCAGCAACCCGGATCTGAGTCTGCAAGTGGCTGCGCAGGATGCACCACCTCTGTCTAGGAGGTACTTCCAGGACAGCATTCTGCCCTGAGAGCAAGATCAAGTGTGAGGCATAAAGTTACTGTCCGGGTGACTGCTGAAATGCAACAGAAATCCAAATTATTAATAATGATCTTTTGAAAGAGCCAGTCTTGGATCATTGCTCATCTGTATCAGTGCTCGGGTGCAGCAGCCAGCAACCCAACCCGTGCAGACTTCCCTTTGTGCACACGGTTCTGAGAAAGCACTATCCTATCATCTTTAATAAAACCGGGCTTAAGTGAAGCAGTGTTGTCTGCCCGAGTTTGCACAAGCAAGAAAAAATAACAGGGAGAAGTGCAAACTGCATTTAAGAGACACTCCCCTCTGAAACAAGGTGTCATTGTCAGGACCCCAAATAAAATAAGTAGATAGCCCTACACTGATAGCTACTTATTTTCATACTTAATAACATGAAGTGGCCTCAGACTATCCAGATGGCTTCAGAATCCACAAACCTGCCCCTACAGGCTCAAGCTCGCTGCAGAGCAAACAGAGCCTGATTACGCACACAGGGCCATGGGGAAAAGCCATGTTTTTCCAGAGAAAAAACCTGATGAAACTATTGCTCCTACAGCTGTGCCAGCCCTACAGCATGTGATTCCTCATCCTTGTTAGTGACCAACATCTCATACAGAAAACAAGGAAATAGAAGTGCAAGTCCTCAGACAGCACTGAGCTTACCGAGTGGACAGAGCGGGGTTGGTCAGGACAGAGCAGCTGAGCTCTGACGGCACAGGCACAGCCTGCATTTGGGCAGCTTTATCAGCAAGTCTCTGTAGGTGCCTACAGGAAGGAAAAAAGCTTGCAAAGTGTTTTGAGATCCTCTGAAGGAGCAGTACACATAATTTCCTATCATGTAGCATAAGGAACAGTTCCTATCCAGTTCCTTACGGCAGCTCACATAACACAGCATTTTCTTCTGATAGCGGGAAATGGCACCTTTCCTCCCCTTCTTACAGTTGGGTTTGATTGCTTTTTTCTGGGAAAAGTTGTCTGGTGTCTTCAGGCATGTTACATGTACATTGCTGTCCAGATGTTCCTACCCTGGGACCCATGCAAGGGGCCCCGCAAAAGGCAGACCTCCATAGGGCTGAAAACCCCATGCTGAGCCCCAAATTGTATCACCCCCAAATCTTCCCCATGCTCTCAGAAAGCAAAAATAACATTTGGCAAAACGGAACAGTTGGTTGGAGAGGGCCTGTTGGTAACAGCTCAACGCTAAGTCACAAGAGGCTCTCTGGACCCAGGCACAGCGTACTGCGGGGACTGGCCACATGCCTGTGCCCACCCTGAAGGCAGCTGCATTTCAGCAGTTACAGGATCTGTTTTGGAAGGGAACATGTGAAAGTGGCTCATGTAAATGAGAAGTTGTACGTTATAAGTTTAACACAAGGCCATTCCTCTTGCAGGTTTGTGGATTGAAGTATCTGGCCACAAAGCTGTGCTCCTGAACTAAAGAGAAGAGGATGCTCTTCTGTCTCCTCTTTATCATATCCGCCCTCCCCAGCCCTCCTGGAATATGCACCTTTCTCCCAGCAGTTAGTTAGCATTGAGACAAGAAGGGAAATACTTAGCAGCCACTTAACACTGAAGGCTGAGTTTGGCCTCAAAGGCTACAGTCCAGAGTCAAATGCAAAATATTTCTGTCTAGAGCTCTTTCAAGTTTTCACAGACTCCTGATGTTAGGTGCACTGTTTTCCTGTCAACCCATTGTGTTTCCCAGACACAGCTCAGCACTCTGTCCCACTCAAATCCACAAAAAATACATACTGAAAGGACTTGACAGCAGCAAGAACAGCTTTGCAACACAGCACAGGAAAGGGCCACCAAGCACCACACTGCAAGCACTGCCTTTCCTCTCCTCCTCTCTTCCTCCCAGCACCTGGGGACACAGCAACCCAGCCAGAACCATACTGGTCTCCATCAGGAGCTGTAAAGAATTGGCCT